CATGTTGTGTGAGTGCTGCTGTGGAGGCACAAGCCTCTCCCAATCGGAACTGATTGAGAATGAGCCAGAGGCAGGTGCAGTTGGGCCAGGATGAGCGCGAGTGGCAGGTAGGAGCTGCAGGCAGTGTTGGACTACAGGTTTGGGCCCGATCCCTGCAGGCCACCCTGAGGGACTGCACCTGCACAAATTTTTGTGCACCAGGCCTCTAGTATATAAAATAAATATCAAAAATATAAGTCTTTGTTTTACTATGGTTGCAAATATCAAAAAATTTCTATATGTGACACGGCACCAGAGTTAAGTTAGAGTTTTTCAAAATGCTGACATGCCGCTCAAAAGGTTCGCCATCACTGGCCTAGGATGAAGGTGTCTTTTGCCAGATGTTATTTTTTGCTTTTACTTTTGCCAAGTGTATGTGCATTGTGAATGGAAAAACATTATTTTTTCCTCTTTTACTTGCTACTGTCAGACTCACAACTCCCTATATCACTTCTGACATAACATGTGGGGGTTTTCTACACCAACCAATTCTCTGTACCATCTGAGTTTCCTGCAATTCAATTTAATTCTGACACTAACTGGAGTTATCACAAACCCCACAGGTTAAGGGCTCGGACCCATAAGATTGCACTTCCCCTTTATTTTTTTTTATTTTTATTTTTTTAAAATATATTTTATTGATTTTTTACAGAGAGGAAGGGAGAGAGATAGAGAGTTAGAAACATCGATGAGAGAGGAACATCGATCAGCCGCCTCCTGCACATCCCCCACTGGGGAAGCGCCCGCAACCCAGGTACATGCCCTTGACCGGAATCGAACCTGGGACCTTTCAGTCCACAAGCCGACGCTCTATCCACTGAGCCAAACCGGTTTTGGCTGCACTTCCCCTTTAGACGCCAATCACAAGCCCGGGTTGTCACCTGTGCTTCCAGCTGACTGGCTATACGTTAGAAGTTCCCATGGCCCCCTTTTTGGGGTTTGATTAATTTGCTAGAATGGCTCAGAAAACTCTGGAAAACAGTTTACTTACTAGATTACCAGTTTCTTACAAAGCATATTGGAGGATATGAATGAACTGCCAGAATTAGAGATGGATACACAGGGCAAGGTCTGGAAGGGTCCTGAGTGCAGGACCTTCTGTCCTTGTGGAGTTGGCGTGTACACCTTCCCAACGCATAGATGTATTCAGTCACCTGGAAGCTCTCCAGGCTTTGTCCTTGAGGGATTTTTATGGAGGTTTCATCGTGTAGGCATGATTGTTCATTAACTCAATAGCCAGTGCCTATCTCCTTCCCCGAGGATGGGATAAAGCTGGATGAAAGTTCCAAGGTTTTAATCATGGCTTTGTCTTTCTGGTGACCCATCCCCATCCTGAAGCTATTCAGAAGCCTACCAAGAGTCGCCTCATCAGACCAAAAGACATATCCTCCTGGAAATTCCAAACAAAGTTAGGAACTTTCAGGAACTGGGGTCAAAGACCCAATGTTAGGATAAAAGGTGATCATAGTGCTCTTATCACCTAGGAAATTATGAAGGTTTTAAGAGCTCTGTGCCAGGAATCAGGACAAAGACCATATATTTTCTATTTCACACACTATTAATCAGAATCTACTTAAACTTAGTTAAAAGTTTATTATTCCCTGACCTACCCAAGTCACATGTTTGCAAATCTATACAAAGGACCCAGTCAACCCCAAATTTCTTTCCAATATTCCCCATCCCCCTTTTCTCCCTCCTCTTTCTACTCCCTCCCCCGCCTCCCTCCTGTCATGCCATAATCGAAGACGGTCTTGCTTGCATGTACTTGGTATCAGGATAGGGAGTAAGTGCAGAGTTGCATAGTTCTGGCCAACCTTAGCAGTGTGTTAGCCCTTCCAATCCCCAGTTTCCCACCCTTGGAAGTTCCTCCACTTTTAGTGAGAGAACTCCCACTTTTAATGGGCTCTGGGCTTGATTTACATCTCTCCGTGATGCCATTATCAGAAAGCGTTGGTAATATCTTCAGTGTTATAGTCTACTTTGTAATTTCTCACTTATCAGTTGAATCTAATTGGCTGTTTATATCTGTATATCGTTTTACATTTTTAATTATTATTTTTTTTTACTTTTGGAAGCTCTATTTGGTTCTTCTTAAGTCTTCCTGATCACTTTATCATCTTATGTTCCTTAGTTATATTTTCAGTATCATCCCTTTCTTTCCATGAGCATAAACATGTTTTATAGTCTGTATTTGATTATTTCAGTATCTGAGGTCTTTGTAGGTTTAAATTGAATTATGCTTGCTGATATTTGACAAAGTTTTATTCTTGATGGTTTATTTCTCATGTGTTTTGTGAATTATTTTAAATTATGGGCTCATGTTAATTGAAACGTAGGAAATCTCTGAAGTGTGGTAAGTTAAGGTTTTTTTTCCAGGGAGTATTTGCGTTTGAATTTTAGGGATTGTTGAGGCACTAGCACATTGAGATAATTTTTGAGTTTTTTTTTTTTTTTTTTTAAATTTTAGGTCACTAAAATGAATTCTTCTCTAAACCTATCTGAAAGCCCTTGGTCATGAATTATCTAGAGAGACTTTTCCTCCCTTACATATAAACCTAAGGCTGAGACTTGCAAGTTTCCTGTTTCTTTGCATATGGTGGCCTTTTCTGATTTTCCCTTTTACTGGGCATAGCACCTTTTGGGGTTTGTTTCTTTTTTGGGTGGATAATCTCCAATATGTTTCCTTGAGCTGCATTGTCCCCAGGTTTCATCTCTTGTCCTTTATCCACAGAGACCTTCAAAACCAAAGTGGGTGGTGGTATGCATTGGCAGATACCTCTGGGTAGCATATACTACTATATACCCTCAGGACTTGTGTCTCTGGATTTGACCTTTTTCTTCTTTAACCTAAGGGTATTTGTCTTATTTTCCTACCACTTTAGCATGCATTGAAAAGATTCTTTTAACTTTTTATCCAACATTCTTAAGGATTTGTCCTGAGAAGGCTCTACAGGCTATGGCATCTGCCTCATTGCCCTAATATTTATCAAATGTCATTTTTAATGTTTCTTTTATAGGATTCAGTTTAGCTGCATTTAAAAGAAACAAGAGGAAACTAGAGCTGGCAGAAAGGGTGGAAACAGATTTCATTCAACTAAAGAAAAGAAGACAATCAAATGAAAAGGTCAGGAGGTATTTGAAATATTAATCATTAATGTATCATAATGATATATTTAATTTGCATTTAGATATATAAGCTTTAAAGTAGTATGATCCAGTAAAAATATTATGCATGCCACATACATCCTTTTAAATTTTCCAATAGTTACATTAAAAAAGTAAAAATAGGCAGGTGGAATGAATTTTAATAATGTATTTAAACCAGTGAATCCAAAATATCACTTAAAAATGTAACCAATGAAAAAATTATTAGTGAGCTATTAAACTTTTTTTTTTTAAGTCTTCCAACCTGGTGTGTATTTTACTCTTCTAGCACATCTTAATTATGACACTGAATTTTCATTGTAAATATTTGGTCTGTATTTGTATTTCATAATTGAAATACAAATTGAAATACACCGTTGAAAAAGAAGTTTACATAACAAGTTATTCCAAACACACTTAAAACTTTCCCATAATATAACTGAGTATATTTTAAAATTAAAATTAATTAAAATTTAATAAAATTAAAAATTCAATATCTAATTTGCCCTTACTGCATTTTAAGTGTTCAATAGCTATATGTGGCTGATGGCTACTGATTTGGGCCTTGCAGCTTTAGATAGTGACTCTTAACATGGCTGTTTGGGGGGTAGAGTATGTTACAAAGAAACGTATATGTTGGGTTCATTTAGGGTTTTGTATACATTCTAATTGCACGTTTCTGTTTCTCATTGTTACACATTCTTTGTTTGCATTTCATGCATTTGTGTACCATCATGAGTCCATGTGTGGCATTTCTTAGGTGTTTGGAAGTTGAAAACCACAACATTCTTGGTCAGTCTATGGCTGGGGGGTTCATTAGCACATAGTTCGTGATGGGTGTCTCACATCACAGTCATTTGATGTGCTTTGGCATCTTATTAATACTGGTTCAGGCTTTCTGTCATAGTTTTATGTGATTTACACACACACACACACACACACACATATATGCATAATAAATCATCTTTCATAGTGACAGATGTTTTTCCAGTGTGTTTCCACATTGGAAATTAATAAAAAATTTTGGTTCAAATCTTTTTATTTTTTTTCTAGAGAAAAGTAGGAATTTAGGAGGAAAATGAACATTTTAATAAGTAGATCTTGGTGAAAGTGGAAAACAGTGTGGTTCTGTTTTTTGTGTTTTTTTTGCATCCCCTGTGCTGTCTGAGTGAGAAAATTTAGGACTTTTGTTCTTTTAAAAACGTATGATAAAATCTGCATACAATGAGCAATTTAATCATTTCTAGAAATGTATACACCCATATAACCCATGCACCTATCCAGCTAGTAGAAAATTCTGGTTCCTCTATACTTCTTCTCAGCCAATCATAACTTGCCTACTTCTATTCTTGTCTCCCCTTTCAATGCATTCTCCACACTGGAGCCCAAGAGAACTTTGTAAATGTGGATGAGATAACATTGCATCTCTTCTAATTCCTCGATGGCTACTCATTATAGTGTGATACGGAGTAACTTAGATGTCAGAGATGGAAGTCTCAAAGAACAAGTTCTTCAGCTGGAATGATTGATAGAGATCTCTCTGAGGGTGTATAACATTTGAGGTGTCATCTGAAAAATAAGAAGTGAGCTTATGCAAAGTCAGTGGAATAGTGTTCCAGGCAGAATGAACTGCATGTGCAGTGGCCCTGGTAGGGATTTGGCATGTTAGAGGAATGGGGAAGAGGGTCAGTGTGCCTAAAGCAGGGTAGGCAGGGGCGAGTGGTGAGATGAAGCTGGAGAGGAAGGTATGTGCTAGCTCCTTTAAAATCCAGTAGATCATGGCAAGGTAGATATCAGCTGGGAGATGATGACAACTTGGACTCTGGGCAAAGGGGATGGAGATGGAAAGAGGTGAATATATCTAAGGTATATTTTGAGAGTTCCTGGAAAGACAGGAATTATTGATGCCTTAGATATTGGTAAGGAAGAGAGAGAAATTAAAGCTTTTAGCTTTAGCAGTTGAGTGTTGTCATTTATTAGCGTGCGGAGGGCTGGGGAAGGTATGGCTTCATAATTATAGAGTGGGAAGTGGAAATCAAGAACTTTCTTAGCCCATATCCCCTTAATGGACTTGGAATACCAATGCTTTCCATTTTCACCATAAAATATGTTACCTGATGTCAGCAGTACCCTAAATACCCAAGCTAATAGACCATCTTTTAGTGTGCCATGTTTCTTTACTCCTTCCAATTGAATTATATGTCATCTAGGGCCTTACTATGCTCATTATTTTTATCATTGTAATTGCATAACTCATTGTCTCATATACACCAATGAATATTGGGTTTAAAATAGTTATTTTTTTAAAAAACTAAGAGAGTTGTTTGTTTGAAAACTAACTTGAAAAAATAGAGTTGGTTTATAAAGAAAATGCTATAGAATTAAATATGAGCAAGCCAGCTGTAAAAGGTTGAAAAAAGTCATAAAAATCTAGAGGCATTCTGCATTCAGAGTGCATGTTAGTGTCCTTATGTGCTTGTTCTATGTTAGATAAAATGAAACTTGAAGTCATAGGACAATTCAGTGTGTTGTAGATTATACAAGAAAGATGACATGGAACATTTATTTGTGGGTCCACATTCAAAGAAAAGACTAGTCTCATATGAAAAGATTGATTAATGAATGAACCTTTGTGTTTTAAATAAAGTAAAATATTTAAGGAATGTGGGTGTTTTTTTTTATTTCCTGCTTCACCCAGAGAATTTTCAACTTTTAAAAATTTCAACCAGTCACTCATCATACTCTTTAAGAGGATTTCCCATAAAACACTTGATGTGGCATGAGGAAAGATTAATTGTTGAGTTTGGTATATGGGTCTGAAGCTTATGCAAAGGTCAGGAGGGAGATTCCCATTTGGAAATTATTGGCATCGAAAGGAATATAAATATATGTGGCTGGATGAGCTCACTTCTGAGTGAGAGTAGATAGAGCTCTGAAAACTGAACCTTAGGCCAGTTCAACATGTACTAGTGGGAGGAGAAACTAGCAAAGGAGAAAGAGGAGATAGCCAGTGAAGCAGAGATACAAACAGGAGAGTGTCTACTAGGAAGCCAAGAGAGGAATGTTTCAGTCAGTCAACACCTGGTCCAAATGCTGCTGAGAAAACAGCGAAGAGGACAGAGAACTGGCCATTGAATTTAGCACCTCAGACTGTGGGCCTGGATAAGGAGTTTCTATGACAGAGTGGATTGTAGAACAGTGTGGGCTGGGTTGGTCAGGGAGAAGAAGGATAGCGATAGCTCTTTTGAGAATTTTTGACGGGAGGTGGGGGGAGAGAGAGAGGGAGAGAGAGAGAGAGAGAGAGAGAGAGAGAGAGAGAGAGGAAGGGAGGGGGAGGGGAGAGAGGGAGGGGAGAGGGGAGAGAGAGAGGAGAGAGAGAGAGAGAGAGAGAGAGAGAGAGAGAGAGAGAGAGAGAGAGAGAGAAAGAGAGAGAAAGAAAGGAGTCAAGAGTCCAGACCATTGCCAGTTACTTCTGTGAATTCAGTGAATAATTTGACATGTAGAGTTTCAGTTTTCTTACTTTGGAATGGATTTAGTGTTATTCTGCTTTCTAGCAGGGCTGTTATAAGGAGCAACAATGATAAGGATGTTCAAAGGCTTGGTGGCTGTCATTGCCTTAGCCAGACACAATAGTCTTTGCTATTGTAGCCTTCATTTTTAATGTCACTCAGCCTAAAAGAAAGAAAATTTCTGCCTAGTTATTTACACTGGGTGGAATCTTGTAATGGAGAAAGAGAGTGGTAAGGGAGGTAGGTAGAGGTGGGTTGAAAGGTTAAATTCAGGCATGATTCAAATGGAGTTGTTGGTGGCTAAACAGTACCAGGTGTTAGACCGGTGGAGTCAGACTGGATCTTGGTTCAGCAACCTCGGTACTTGAGTTCTGGCTAAGAAAGAATTCAGATCCAAAACTCAAACTATTAGAGAAAATTTATTTAGAAAGTCATAGAGTTAGAAGAAGTGAGTGGGAGAAGAAATGGGCACAGGAAACAAGTTACAGAGGCAAAAGAAGGGCCCTTGGAGCTTAGGAGAGAGGGAGGTAAAGGTAACATACCTGGGGGTGGGAAGATGAAGAAAAGGAGAAAGGCAAGCTCATGCTCTCAAGAGTGATTGTCCCACTGGGTCCTCCAGTCTTGAGGGTTTGTATCTGGAAGTTTCAGGGGAGAATCCCAACAGAATATTCATCAGCTTTCTAGGTGTTTCCTTTCAGAGTTATGGTCTCCACTGCTTCGTCAGCACAAGGTCAGTGGGTTATTAGTCAATGTACCTGGACCTGAGGTCAGCCATGGCATTGCTTGTCTGGTTTTGCTACTTTTCTGGGCCTGGAGCTGAAACACAGCTGAGGCCTAGATGTTATCCCTCAGGGTTAATGCTTAAGGGAGTGGTTTGTGCAAGGGACCAAATGGGAGTCCCATGAGGCCACTCTCTGAACTCTTGTTCCTCCTCTCAGGGGAGAAAAGGTCATGGGATTGTCCAGACCAGCGGTCGCCAACCTTTTGGACCCCGTGGACCCCCAGTGGCCCTCGGACTACTGAATGGCGACTGCTAGTCCAAACTGTATGACCAGCGACATGCTAGGGGAGGAAAGGTCACCCTGGGGGTGAGGTCCTCGTTTTCCCAGTTTTGCCTCTTGCCGGGTACCTGCGGCTTTTCACCCTGGTGGCCTCCTCTATCTGGCCCATCATCTTTGCTCTGCTCATGTCTGGCTCACTGCCTACCACAGAGTATTTCAGATATCTTAAGTGAAAGAAAAACATTTTTTATATTCAGAATAAGTGAACTGTAATGCATACAAAACTGTGTGACATTGGCCTACAAAAATAACTGGGGCCTAGCCTCTGCCTTTAGGGAAAGGTGCATGCCAGAGGCTTTGCTTCATAGTGTGTATGTTACCTTGGCAGGTCTTGTCTCATAGTGAAGATAATAAAACAGGCTCCCAGAAAGAAACACCACCTGATATGAACCACTTGGGCAAAAATAGAG